TCTTGAGTAACTGGTACTACAAGCATGTGCCACTGCACCTGGCTAATTTTTTATAAGTTTTTTTGTAGAGACACGCCTGGCTGTGTTGCCCAGGCTGATCTCGAACTCCTGAGCTCAAGTGATCTACCTGCCTTAGTCTCCCAAAATGCTGGGATTACAGGTGTGAGCCACGGTGTCCCACTGGTTATATGACCCTGAGGAAGTTAACTGTAAACTTGGAAGATAAATGAGAATTAAATGGGGTAATTTTCAATAAATGTTAGCTATTACATTATGATTAACATCCTCATTCATGTCTTTGAAAATAGTACTATCATTTCCTTAAGATAAATTCTTAAAGTAGAATTGTTGGGTATGCATTTTTAAAGACTTTGTAAACATATTGCCAAACTGCTCTTCAGAAGAGTTATACTAGTTTATATTCCCACCAGTGGTATTGAGAAAGTCTGTTTCTCCACACTCTTGGCTCGATTGTGGGATTACCAGTTTTTAAAATAACTGCCAAATTGATAAGTGAAAAATCGTATAGCTTTCGTAACTTATTAGGTCTGTTTAACAAATTTGCCACAGAAAGATCAGATATGGACTGATAATATAGTGTTGGCCAGGCATGGTGGCTCACATCTGTAATCCCAGCACTTTGGGAGGTTGAGGTGGGTGGATCACGTGCCGTCAGGGGTTTTAGACCAGCCTGGCCAAAATGGCAAAACCCCGTCTCTACTAAAATTAGCTGGGTGTGGTGGTGCATGCCTGTAATCCCAGCTACTCAGGAGGCTGAGGCAGGAGAATCATTTGAACCCAGGAGATGGAGGTTTCAGTGAGCCTAGATCGGGCCACTGCACTCCAGCCTGGGTGACAGGGTAAGAATCTGTCTCGAAAAAAAATAGAGTGTTAATTACTATTTACTTTGTTTTGGTTGTACATCTTAACATTGATGTTTTTCATCTTTCAGGACTGAGAACTTACACATTTTTTAATTCCTTTACTTCCCGCTTTCCTTCTAATTCCTCAGGAATGAGCATGCATTTGTGTAATTGAGTTGAATGAAATTTAATACGTATTTCCTATTAAACTTTTAAGCTCAATATTTAGTCCAGTTTCTTTGTTTCTTTTCCATGGGGAGCACAGAGTGCTGTACTGAGTGTTGGTGACCTGTTTCTAATTCCTCTTTAGTCCCCATCTAGCTATACAACCTTAGGCGAATCATTTAACCTCTCTGGACCTTCATTTTCTTACATGTAATGTAAGTGAGATGGTACCAGGTAGTTTCCTAGGTATCTTCTAGTTCTCACATCACACAGGTAACATTTTTCTTCCAAGAAGTTCCTTCCTCCTCTGCTGTAAATATTGCCCTCCTCCAACACAGTGTCATTTCTTTGAGGCAGAACTTGCTTCTTTCTAGAACTGCAATTTGTTCAGTGTCATGAATGCTAAGATAACAGTAGCAGCTACTATCCCCAAAGTACAGCCGAGACTTTAATGTGAAGTAGGTATTACTCACTTTTTTGTACGTGTCACAAAATCCTTTGAAAATTTGTTGCAGCTGTGCATGGTGGTTCATGCCTGTAACCCCAGCAGTTTGGGAAGCTGAAGCAGGAGGGCTGCTTGAGCCCAGGAGTTCAAAACCAGTCTGGCACAAAGCAAGACCCCATCTTTACAAAAGCCAGGCATAATGGTGTGCACTTATAGTTTTAGCTACTTGGGAGGCTGAAACAGGAGGATTCCTTGAGCTCTGGAGGTTGAGGCTGCAGTGAGCTGTGATTATGTACTTCAGCCTGGGCAGTGGGAGACCCCATCTCATTAAAAAAAAGAAAATTCGTTGAAAGCTGGGGACTCACTCACAGAAAAACATATATAAGCATATATGCCCAAAATTTTAGGGGGCTCTTAGACCCTCTGGAGCCCATCTATGTACTCTCTAGGAATCCACAAATCCTAGCTAAGAACATTTGACTTAGGAACATTCAAAGGATCCCTGGAGATTAATTAGATTGTCAAATCTCTTCCTATTGGAAAAGGGAGCTGCTAAGTTACATAAAAAGCATGCAATATCACAGTTGAAGCCGCACATATGCTCAGGCTTCAGAGGAGGTTTGCCTCTAGTGTCCTTCGCCATGGCAAGAAGAAGGTCTGGTTGGTCCCCAAAGACCAATGTTAACTCCCATCAGCAAATCCAGAAGCTGATCAAACAATGGCTGATCATCTGCAAGCCTGTGCCTGTCCACTCCTGGGCTCCTTGATGCCAGAAAAACCTTGGCCCACCGGAAGAGCAGGCACATGGGCATAGGTAAGCAAGAGGGTACAGCCAATGGCCGAATGCCAGAGAAGGTCATCTGGATGAGGAGACTGAGGATTCCGTGCCAGCTGCTCAGAAGATATTGTGAATCTAAGAAGACGGATTGCCACATGAATCACAGTCTGTACCAGAAGGCGAAAGGGATTGTGTCAAAAAACAAGCGGATTCTCACGGAATCATCCGCAAGCTGAAGGTAGACAAGTCCTACCAGAAGCTCCTGGCTGACCAGGCTGAGGCCCACTGGCCTAAGACTAAGGAAGCATGCAACTCCATGAGTGCCTCCAGGCCAAAAAGGAGGAGATCATCAAGATGTTGTCCAAGGAGAAAGAGATAAAGAAATAAAGCTTCTCCTTTCTTATCTGTACACAGTGGCCTCAGTAATTACATAGACCCATTTTTCAAATAAAACAGCCTTTATCTGCTTGAAAAAAAAACCCAACTCTCTAAAACCTTTTACGCTTACTTACTTGCAAATACCTCTTCATCAATCAGATCATATACTAACTGCTTAAATCTTTTAGAATAGAATCTGAACTCTATACATCAGACTACGTAGTACCTTATAAGGTATTACACAGTCTGGCTTCTGCCCACCCTTGTTTTATACTTTTGTGTCCCACTGGCCTCCCTTGGCTCTGGGAACACACCAACTCTCTACAAGTCACTCTGTTTCTGCTGAAGGGTCTTAGAGTGACCTGTTTCCTCTTCCCTGACCACTTCCCCTGTTGCCCTCCTTCAGGTCTCAGTTCAAATGTCCCCTCTTCATTTGAGCTTCTCCTACCACCTTCACCCCTACCCTAAGCCATTCACTATCACCTCACCCAGTTTTTTCCCTGTGTAGTCCATCTTATCACAGTCGAGGCCGGCGATTTTGTTTATTGGCTTAGGGTAATTGTCTTCTCTCTCCACTCGAATGTTAGTTTCATGAGAAAGGGAGCCTTACCTATCTTATCGATAACCATATTCCCAGAGCTAGGTGCAATGCCTGGCACATACGGGTAGTAGGCACTGAATCGCTGTTTGTCAAATGAATGAATAAACTTCAGCCAAGGATGGATTAAGAAAGACCCTAAGAGGGTCTAAACACTAGGGATTATGGTGCTCCTCCCCCATAGTTAATTGTAACTAGCAATTCTGGTGCTCCTTCCCCATATTTAACTCTAAGTAAAAATAGTACTAAACCACACACTTACATGCACTGAAGCAAAAATAGCTTCTTTCTAGATTATCTGATTGTAAATCTTGGAGTCCCTGCCTTGCTGGTGCCCTAGTGTATGAGCTCTTCCTATGTCCTGGAGGAGTCTAGCACTCAGCCCTCTAGATGTGTTGGGCACTGCTTGCCTGACTACAAAAAACTGGCTGGGCATGGTGGCTCATGCCTGTAATCCCAGCATTTTGGGAGGCTGAGATGGGTGGATCACAAGGTCAGGAGTTCAAGATCAGCCTGGCCAAGATGGTGAAACCCCATCTTTACTAAAAATACAAAAATTAGCCAGGCATGGTGGCAGACGTCTGTAATCCCAGCTACTTGGGATGCTAAGGCAGAAAACTGCTTGAAGGTGGGAGGCGGAGGTTGCAGGGAGCCAAGATGGCACCACTGTACCCCTGTACTCCAGCCTGGGCGACATAGTGAAACTCTTAAAAAAAAAAAAAAAAACCCAACAATTTTGCTGGGATATTGGTGGGAATTACATTAAATCTATATATCAATTTGGGAAGAAATGATATCTTTATTGATTCTTCCAATCCATGAATATGCCATTCCAATTGTTTTCTTTAATTTCTTTCATCAGCATTTTATAATTTTCAGCACGCGGATCCTGTACATTTTGTTAGATGTATATGTAAATATTTCACATTCTTTGGAGCGATTATAAATGGTTCTGTGTTTTTAATTTCTGCTTCCACATATTTATTGTTAGTATGTTTAGAGCTGCTCTCAGTGGAAGAAGGAGAAATGTACTCTTCAGTGAAGTAAACTTGTTTAGTGGTTTCCCCTTCACCTGCTGGGCAGGTAACAATCTATTTATCTTAACATTCAAGTACATCCACAATCTGCCTCTGTATCTCTTAAATTTGACCTCATACCTAATTGCTACATACCATTTTTTTTTTAGATGGAGTTTCACTCTTGTTGCCCAGGCCAGAGTGCAATGCTGCAATCTCAGTTCGCCACAACCTCCACCTCCCGGGTTCAAGCGTTTCTCCTGCCTCAGCCACCCTAGCAGCTGGGATTACAGGTGTGTGCTCCCATGACCTGCTAATTTTGTATTTTTAGTAGAGACAGGGTTTCACCATGCTGGTCAGGCTGGTCTCGAATCTAGAATTCAGGTGATCTGCCTGTCTCGAACTCTCAAAGTGCTGGGATTACAGACGTGAGCCACTGCGCCTGGTCTTAAATACGAATTTCTACTGCTACTGGAAGGGTTTACTCTTCTCTCACCTGAGTACACCTTACTCATTATTCATTCCACCTCCATGTCTTGGCTCATTACCATTTGCCCTCTGGAATCGTCCCTCCACTGGCTTCTTCACCGCAAACTAAATCTTCAAGGATAAGGTCAAAACTCTTCATAAGGTGCCTTCCCTGATAATCCCACCCAAACCCGTTTCTCAGTTCTTTTGCCAATAAAAAAAGTGCTTTAGGCATCGCTCCTTTTCTCCCCTGACTCTTTTAAGCAATATTGTACATCACATCACTCAATCATTGATTTTGCTTTTAATTAACTTTAATCTATGTCTTGTTTCCAGAAATAGATGAAATACTCTGAGAGGCTTCCATGATAGCTATGATGGCACCACATGTATACATTACACAAATTTAATTGTAATGAGGAGGAAAGGGGAGAAAGATTTCAAGCCATGTCAGTTAAAGCAAGGTTACTGGCATTATGGCATGCAAAGGGGATATCATCAATTCTCACGAATCTTTTCTCCAGGCAAGATCCATGCTCTGTACCACTAGTAAAAGGATTATCTTCTCCCTCCTTCCTAAAAATCCCAACACCTCCAACAAAGGTCTACAGTTAGTAGATTTTTAGGGGTTTCCTGGTAGAGCACAGATAATCCCAAGGAAGCTGCAGTAACACCTCCTGGCCACCAGAGGACAGGAAGCAGTGGGAGAGATTTGCTTCCCCTAGCAGAAGTCTTCAGGAGGCCAGGCATCGGCTCAAAGTTGCTTCTGCATTGTGGCCTTCAGGCTTTACCTACTGCCAGAGGTGCTGGCAATGCCTCCCATCTTCAAATGCGCTTTTCTCCCTCCTATAAAAGACAGAACCTTACCCGGCAACACTAATCTTCAATGATTACCAATCATAAGGAATGCCCTTTAGCTGCAGGATTTAAAGGCAGAAAAGTAGCAAAAGGGGTGTATTATCTTTCTAACCCACCCAAACCCGCTTCTCAGTTCTTTTGCCAATGAAAAAAAAGTGCTTTAGGCAGGGTGCATATGGATATCCCGCAACTGTGTCTTTAGGGGCCACTGTCCCAATCAGGCACATTGCAAACGGAATATTTTAAGACTTAGATTATTCCTACACATAAATTCTGGCTCATGGAGCAGTCCACTCGCAGGGTGCTTTTCCGTCATTAATCACATCTTTGTTATGTGATATCCACGTGAGTACTTCTCAGTAGAAGCAGCTTCATGCTTAAACGCTCAAAGAACATTGAAATAAAGCTCCCATTGTCCTATTCAGTAATTCCAAGTCCTGGTTTGTCACCACCTCAGGTCTCTCGTTTTCCAAAGTGCATAATGTCATCTAAAAAAAAAAAAAAAGCGATTTTAATGAATTCAAATAATAAAATGCATGAGGTATGTGGAGTTAAATCAACAAGGGTTTTATACCTCTCAAAAGGTAGTGAACCCCTGGTCTGATTTAAAGATGTTTCTGCGCTGCCTCCTGTAGAAAACATTTTTAAAGAGAATCTAGGCTCCTTATCCTCATATTTGCAAATACAGGCAAAGTAAAGTAATTTAGGAATATTTACGTGGGGGTTTTCAACCACAAACAGATAGCTGAAAGCCTGTCAACAGTAATGTGATTTTTCTTGAAATACCTGTAACTTCTCTACTGAGAGACGGCAGAGCTTTGCCTTTTGCATTCCTCAGACTTTTTAGGGAGCGATTGTAATTCTCTCACATCAGTATTTGCGTGTTTTGACGTTGGTGAGGCAGCTGGAAACAGCTCGAGAAGGAGGGAAAGGGTCTGCGTCTGGGTGAGGGGAAAACCCTCCGATACCTGCTGGAGCGCAGCGCTGGAGGCGGACACCCTGGCCCGGGGGTCGGGGCCGCGAGCCCGGGGGGCAGCGGGCGCGCGGGCGCGGGAGGAGGAGCAGGAGGGAGAGGAGGGGGAGGAGGCCTCGGGGCCGCCTCCTCCCGCAGCTCCGGCTCCTCCCAGCGGCGCCCGCGGAACCTGCCTCAGAGTCGCCGGACACTGGAAGGGAACATGACCTGACCCCTCCCCAAGCGGCCGGAACGAGGCGCGGAGCCGCGCTCCCGGCTCCGGCGTCCGCGGGATGGGCGGGCAGGCGGGCGCGCGGCCCCGCCCGGCGCCCACCGCCCTGCCCTCGCCTGTCTCCTCCTTTCCCCGGGGCTCCGCTGAGTTCATTCACTGGGATTGGTTTCAAGTGACGCCATCTCTTTATTTTTAAACCAATGACCTCATCCGCGCTTGAAGTTTCCTGACCAGCGACTCTTTCTCTTTCCCCCAACCCCCCACCCCACCCCCCCCGCCTCTCCCCCTCTTTCTATGTATCACTGTTTGGGGGACTTTAATCAGTTTTTTAAACGATTATTGCCACTCTCACTCCCCCCCCAACCCCCGCTTTCACCACGCGGCCCCCCACCTTTACCTCCCTAAGTTCTTCATCCCTTTCGACATTTTTTTTGAAGGCTGACTGGGGGGAGGGTGGAAGAGAAAGAGTGAAGAAAGTTGCAAGCGTCTCCGCTCTTCCTAAGCCTCCCGCCCCCACCCACCCCTCAGAGAAGGAGAAGATAATATAGTGAAAAGAAGAGGAGGAGGAGAGCGACGGGACGGGACGCGAGCGGGAGCGCAGCCGCCCTCTCGGCTCCGTGGCGGCGCCTCTCAAGCCCGGGAGGCGAGGGGGGCCCGAGGGGAGACGCCGTGACAACTTTCGTTTCCCTCTGAGGGAATTGGGAGGTCGGCGGCCCCAAAAGTAAGTGGCCTCGGCGGGCCGCGCGGGGTGTGCAGGCGGGAGGGTGCGGGGCTCGGGGCGCCCTCCCGCCCGGCCGCATGGACGCTCCGCGGGGTGTCCCGACTCCCGGTCCCGGGCGCCGTGCTCTTGCCCCGCCGGCTCTGCCTTCCCGGGCGTACCGGTTACCCTTTCGGGAGGCGGCGTGGGGGCGACCACGGCCCGGGGCCGCAAGAGCGTTTGAAGCGGGGGTGTAGGCCTGGCCCGGGGCCGGCCCGAGCGGGAAGGGGGCGTGCGGCCGGGCGCGGGGTCGCAGTGGGTGCGCCCCCGGCCGCTGCGCGGCGAGCGGGCTCGGACCGGGCCCCTCCGAGAGGAGCGGCCGCCGCTGGACGCGGCACCTTCGCGGGCGAAGCTGTTCACTTCCAGGCGCGACTGTTACACAACACGCCTGCCAAGTGGGGCCCCGGCCTGACTGTTCCCATTATCCCCAATTCGCCTTTGGTGTAAGCAGCGAGGCCACCTGGGTGGTGACGGTGCTGCTTTCTATAATCAACCAACCAAAAAAGCCCTTAATTTTCCGACAGGGCTCGAGTCTTGGCGTTGGGGGACCGGACGCCTAGTGACTTCTTTATTTACACTAACTGCAAAACGTGAGAAATAAAAAAGCCCAGGGTCTGTGTATCACGTGTAGTTTCGTGTAATGAAACACCACAGAGGGAAATATTTTCAGATGCTTGGTTTATTTCCTAAAGAATACCGGTAGTGAACCAGAGAAAATACAAATAGATCTGAAAATGAATGGATACTGCAAAATCCTAAAGTAATTTAGGGAACATCCACTGCAAGGATTCTTGGCGTTTTGAAGTCGTGTGTCTCAGATTGAAGAAAGCACACCTCTAACCAGCCTGTGATGAATAAGGTGTGGAGGAAAAAAACCTGTTGCATAATCTCATTTGCCGTGGGTTGCTGTGCCGTCCCCTTGAACCAAAGGGAAGTGAGTTAAGATGCAGGGCTTTAAAACTCTGTGAAGTTTTTATTTACCCAGTGCTCTGGCTGCCACTTCTGTTTTAAAAGATTATAAGTAAACACTCTCCTCTTACAAGTGAACCAAACCTATCAAACCTGTTAAATAACCAGGTATGTTTCTCTCTTCTTTCGTGTGTGTGCGTGTGTGTGTGTGTGTGTGAGAGAGAGAGAGAGAGAGAGAGAGAGAGAGAGAGAGAGAGAGAGAATGAAATTTACCATCCGAGCAAAAGCTTAGGACTAGTGTTTGGGGAACTGAGACTGTCAGAAAAATGCCTATTTATGCCACTCACCTTACGGGGCTGATGGAGAGTCCACGTAAAGGACAACCGTTTCATTAGGATTTGTGCTGTTAAATCTCCATCAAGAAAGGGGCTTGTTAAAGTTAAGGTAAATTTTTAAAAGATTTCTTACCAATTGGACTAATTACTCTTTAGTTACTTACTTTTCCTTGAGAAACACATATATTGGTGGATACCACTTGGGAGGCTCGTTGAGTCTATTTGGTGAATGCAGCAGCTTGGAGAAGTAAAATGAAAAACAGAATGTATGGCTTTGTGTAGGGATTTTAGTAAAAATGTGAGTAGGCACCGTGAAAGGTTGTTTTTTAAAATTGTGGAATTTACTGAGTTTGAAGACAGCGTGGAAAGTTGCATTAAATTGTTTTTTAAATTTTGCTAATATTTACCATCTTATGTAAAAATATGGGCTAAATAACACCAGCCCAAGAGTTGGATTTTAGGTAAAATAATTTTTGTACTTATCAAAATTCTACGTGGAGGAAAAATTAGAAATGAGCTTATTTTGAATTCTGTTAATATGGTGAATATTGTATTGAAAATAACTTGGTTCAGGTACTATAAATGTACATTCAGATATAAAAGAATGTGTAAACTGTGGTAATTAATTTTTTTTAGTATTAACCTCTGCCGTATCAGCAACTCAAAAAATATCTCATTTGGTTGAAAATTATACTTATTTTAATTGAGTGTTTCACATAGTGTCTGATTATGGAGGGGGCTAGGAACAGAACTGCAGAATTATCCAGTTTTGCTCCTTTTTCAATTTAGAATGTCCTTGTTCTTTGGTTCAGTATGGTGAATGTGAGTACCTATGAAATAAAAATAGTCATGTAAAATTGGGGGTTAGAGTCTCTTGGGCCAAAAGCTTAATGGCAGTAACTGAGAAGGCAGCAAAAGAGATCTTGTTACTCCAGTTCTTTTACGTTTTCCTATACATTTAAAAATTATTTGTGGGATAGTTGAGAGTGGAAGTGAGGCTGAGGTGGGGGGTGGAGAGTAGGTATGTGTGAAGGTTGCAAAGTTTAGGTTGGGGTCAGGAGAAGAGGCAGGATTTATTTGTGAGTTTGTTTTGATGCTATTTTCTGTAAATACTTATATTGGGAATTTAATTTCATACAGTTTTTAGCATGTGAGATTAATATATTCATGAAGCAGACTTATATAGCTCTCCAGTATTAATTTTTTTTCAATTTTCAGCTAATCCTAAAATTCTGCTAAATACAATTTGCTAGAGTTACCAGTGTAATGATTTATCCTAGAACTTCAAGTTTCCCTAGACAGAAATAATTTTCTACCTTGTGTTACCTGAACTAAAAATTTCACTGAACATTCAGTGTTTTTAAAATGCATTGAGTTCTCAAGCAAAAGGTACTTTAGTTTGAAGAAGTAAATTAATACAGGGTGAACTGATTTGGATCAGAATCCCAAGAAAACAAGCAGATAACTTAGAGGAACCAAAACAGATTTTTATGACAGATTTCAACAGAGGAAAGGAACTAGTTAAAAAGATTTTGCAGGAAAAACCATAGTTGATGCTTGATTGGCTTCAAAAGAAATTTACTGATCAAATTTTAAAACTGAGATATTCATCATCATAAAAGAAAATCTGAATGTTGGCTTAAACAAAAACATAATTAGGAAAATAAGTCTTGCCCAAAGCTACATATGATAAATTCCAAAGCCAGATGTCAATTTTTTCCTGATTGTCTTGTGTTGTAGACAATCTGTTATATGTATGCATTTCATTATCCTTGATGATTAAGGGTTGGCTGTGTAGAGAGGTTTATAAAGGTTGGCTGAATTTAAAGAAGCAGGCTCAGATTTTAAGAGGGCACTTCTCATACACAGATGGATTGAGATGGGGAGTTAGAATTTTAATCAAGTAAATAACTGTAGGAAACAGTGGCTCAAAAGAAGGATGTAAGATAGATTACGTTGGACAGGTATAAAGAAATAATAAAAGCTTGCTAGGGGTATGATCAGTAAGGAAGGAATTGAATACATCTTGGCATGAAAAGAAAGACGAATAAATGGGAAAATGCCCTCAACCTCAGCAACAAGAGAGAGTAATGAAACTTCACGCCCTTCTTGACTGGGGTTAGAAACATCATTATAGTTATTGCCAAAAAGTCACAAGATTTTTTATTACCTTAAAAAATGTAGGCCAGGCATGGTGGCTCACTCCTATAAACCCAGCACTTTGAGAGACTGAGGCAGGAGGATCACTTGAGCCTGGGTGTTGAGACCAGCCTGGGCAACACAGATCTTGTCTCCATAGAAAATCAAAAAATTAACCAGGTATGTTAGTACACAGCTGTGGTCTCAGCTACTCAGGAGGCTGAAGTGGGAGGATCTCTTAAGCCCAGGAGGTCAAGGCGGCAGTGAGGTATGATCGCACCACTGCACTCCAGCCTGGGCAACAGAGCAAGACCCTATCTCCAAAAAAAAAAAAAAAAAAAAAAAAAGAAAGAAAAGAAAAATTTAATCTTGAGGGAGAGTGGTGGATAAATTATGTGCATTAATTATATGAGAATGTCAAATTTAAAATTCTCAGAAATAAAAATAAAGAGGGATTCACTGTAATATCATGGCCTACTTTGAGTTTTTTGGAAGGGAGGGATACATTATTAAAAATTGAAATTATTATTATTATTTTTTGAGACAGAGCTTTGCTCTTGTTGCCCAGGCTGGAGTGCAGTGGAGTGATGTCAGTTCACCACAACGTCTCTGCCTCCCAGATTCAAGTGATTCTCCTACCTTGCCCTCCTGAGTAGCTGGGATTACAGGTGTGTGCCACCATGCCTGGCTAATTTTGTAATTTTAGTAGAGATGGGGTTTCTCCATGTTGGTCAGGCTGGTCTCCAATTCCTGACCTCAGGTGATCCACCCACCTCAGCCTCCTAAAGTGCTGGGATTACAGGCCTGAGCCACCATGCCTGGTTAAAAAACCGAAATTATTAACTGAATTTCTGGATTAACTGCCAATATAAATTAAGCAAAGCATTTGTTAACAGTATACTATTTACATGTGCTGAGATGGATGTCAAAAGTGGGGGACACTGGTCCATGTTCTTAGGAAGAACAGGATTATAAGAATTTTAGGGGAGATACATGTGCAGATGAAAGGAACTAGTTAATACGATTTCACAGGATAAACCATAGTTCATGCTTGATTGGCTTTAAAAGAAATTTTAAAGAATTTGGCAAGTGCCAAATTCAAGTGCAGAAGAGAAAGAGGGCTCAAGGAGGTAATCTTCATAGAGGTAATAGAATTTGACCCTGGCCTTAAAGATTGGTTAACATGTGTATGGAGAGAAGGAAGTGGGGGAGGTCAAAGGCCGAAGCTATTCACCCATCTAATTCAGCAAATTACCAAGTGGTAGACCCTGCCTATGCAGTGGAAAATAAGAGAAAGTTTTTGCCCTTATGCAACTTTTTTTCTAGTGGGAGAAGACAGGACAGTAAACAAGAAAAGACAATAACAAGTAAACAGGACATTAAAAAGGTGATGTCAAATAGTGGTAAGTAGTGAAGATAATGATCAGGGTCAGTAAATCACATTTATTCTGTGAATCACCTGCTTTGCCTTTGATAGTCTAATGAATAGTGTTCATGTTATAACTTTTTAATATTCATGTGCAGTCCAAATGAATTTAAATAGAAATCTACACATGAACTTTAACCAGCTTTTTAAAAAAGAAATGTGAATTAAAAAAAAAGAAACCTATGTGACTTTTTTTTAGGTCAAGGCATGGAAATCTATATATTTTTTTTAATGCCTCAGTAAGTTATCCATAATTCTTTTGCTGCCATTTGCTAAGAATCTCATGGTTTTTTTTTTTAGGTCAAGGCATGGAAATTTAGATTTTTTTTAAATGCCTCATTAAGTTATCCACAATTCTTTTGCTGCCATTTGCTAAGAATCTCATGTTTTTTACAATGAGATTAATATGATTGTTTACTGTCCAGTTAGGGTTTTCATGTATGGGGATATATTCTTAGGTTAGACTCTCTGTTAGGAAAAATAGTCACAATAGTTTCATAAAGTGAAGCTAAATTTCAAAGATAGTTTGTTTTGTGTGAAAACATACAATATTTCAGACAATAATATATTCATACAATAAACTGTTGTGCTTAATTACCAGTAGACAAAATAGGGTAAGGGGTGACACCTGTTCAGCTCTTGTCCCGGTGGCATATTTTTTCCTGTATTTCTATAAATAGTAAAAACCTGAAGCAAAAATCTTCCAAAATGGAGAAGTCTTGATTTTCCTGTAGTTAGACTGCCAGATTTGTTTTGTTATGTTTAGAAGATGTCCTTCATAGTGGTCCACTAAAAACTGATATTATCAGGAGCTATTTCATGTCTTAGGGCACATTTTGTTCTTCTGAAGCATTCTTTAAGAAATATGTGCCCTTCTTCACTCTTTCTGTAGTTTTAAACTTAATTTTTTAGAGATGAGATCTCTCTCTGTCACCCAGGCTGAAGGGCAATAGAGCGATCATAGCTCACTGTAGTCTGAAACTCCTGGGCTCAAGCAGTCCTCTCGCCTCAGACTCCCAAGTAGCTGAGACTACAGGTGCCTGCCACCACACCCGGCTAATTATTATTATTATTTATTTTTAATAGAGGTGGAGCCTTGCTTTGTTGCCCAGGCTGGTTTCAAACTCCTGGCTTCAAGCAGTCCTCCTGCCTTAGTCTCCCAAAGTGCAAGGATTACAGGCATGAGCCACTGTAACAAGCAAAACTTTTTTTTTTTTTTTTTTTAAGATGGGGTTTCACCATGATGGCCAGGCTGGTCTTGAACTCCTGACCTCAGGTGATCCACCCACCTCTGCCTCCCAAAGTGCTAGGATTACAGGCGTGAGCCACCGCGCCCAGCCTGCAAAACTTTTTTATAAGTGAAATTAAGGTAAAGGATTTTTAAAAGCATTGATATTAAATGTATCTATAGAACCAAATCCCTCAAGAATTATTCTGTATGCACCTAACCAATTTTCATCTGCAATATACTTGAGATAAACCTATGGGAAAC